GCTAAACACTGATGGCTGGGCCCCATCCCCCAGAGTTTCTGATGCTGAGGCCCAGGAATTTCCATTCTCTAACAGTTTCCAAGTGCTGCTACTGCTGGGAAGTGACTCACGAACTCATTCCAAATAGCAGATTTATGGGAGGATTCATCTGTCTCTGAGATGAAGATGTCCTTGATTTGTTATTTATCTCACATTTATCCATAACAATCGATCAAGTTTGAGGTTGTTCATGCCAATTTAATAACAATATCTTAGTCTTTGTGGGGTTTTTGTTTTGTTTTGTTTTGTTTTGTTTTGTTTTGAGACAGTTTCACTCTTGTTACCCAGGCTGGAGTGCAGTGGTGTAATCTCGGCTTACCGCCACCTCCGCCTCCTGGGTTCAAGCAATTCTCTTGCCTCAGCCTCCCAAGTAGCTGGGACTACAGGCGCTTGCCACCATGCCCAGTGAATTTTGTATTTTTAGTAGAGACGGGGTTTCACCATGTTGAGCAGGATGGTCTCGATCTCTTGACCTCGTGATCCACCTGCCTCAGCCTCCCAAAGCGCTGGATTATAGGCATGAGCCACTGCACCTGGCCAGTCTTTGTGGTTTTTATACTTGCTCAAGAATACTTTTAAACCAGGGAGAAGTTGTCATTATTTCTATGTTGTAGGTGAAAAACTGAGAACCGATGTATTGGTTGTGAGACGCAGAATAGAGCTCACTTTTCTTCCTTCTAGTCTATGATTTTTTCCCAGGTTGTCAGATTGCCAAAGGAACATGCCCAGGGTAGAGGAACAATAGGCTGCCCATGTCTAGACTGAAAGCTCACCACAATGAAAAGGTCCTTGGCTGGACATCCAGTCCAGGGCATCAGAAAAGCTTTTTAGCTGACTTGGTAGCTTGAACTTTCACAGAACTATGCAATATGACAAGGAAAATTCCAGCTTCCATGAAGCATTAAAGGAGTTGTAAGACTGGCTAGGAGAGAGCTGAAAGCACTTGTCAGGAGACCCAGGACAACAATAATGGTAGTTGATGATGCGTCTCTGGGATCACACTGCCCAGACTACTAGCTCTTTGCTGTTCATGCTGGGTACCTCACCAGCCTAAGACTCCACTTCTAGAACTGTAAAATGTGTCTAACAACATACCTCCACTGAGTTGTTCTGGAAAATAACAGTTCAGTGTGGGAAGACCAGTGCCTAGCTTGTGATAGCAGTTCATGAAGTATGCAGTGTTAGCTCTCAAGGCACATAAAGCAGCATACACGCCTTTCACTGGGTTGTATCTCCCCATTACCTAATATGATAATGATAATGATAATGTAGTAGAGACTTCCATGTAGCAGTCGATCATCTTGGTATTAGACTGTTGATATTTATATATCTGCATTTCTATCAAACTATCACTCTTTCATGTTGAATAAGATATACTAAATCGTGGTTCAATTATCAACAAAGCAGGACTGTAAAATGACATTCCAATCATCTGTCTTTGACTATGAACATAGATATTTCAGTTTGGATTCATCTTGAAGCTGGCTGCTTGAGCTTCAAGATTTGTAAAAGAGATCTTCAATGTGTTAATTGCAGGTGAACTGAGAGCAGTAATTCAGGAGTTAATAACAGCTGGTTGTGTAAAAGTCTCCCAGATTGCCTAAATTTTAACTCACATCAAAAATGTGAATTTTTACCTAACAAGCCTAGACATTGAGAGGAGGCATGATTACAAAATGCAAATAAGCAGGACTCAGATTCGTTCACTCACATGACCACCTACTATGTCTGAGCTGTCCTTTTCTCCTGGGACCAGAACACAAACCCCTGGCACAGCCCTTGACCTCAGTGGCCTCAGTCTGGTGTGCAGCACCTTGTTTTTGAAGACTGTGACCCTAAAGTACACTTTTCTAGTTTCATATCTACTGATGAGATGGTTGTTGTGCTTGCCAGGGTAACAAAGATCATTTCCAGTCTCACCTACCTGGATTGCATTGATGCCAGCACAGGGTACTCCAAAGTATTCACTGATAGAGGCCTCGAATCACAAAGCACTGCACTTGACCAATATACTTGAATTATTTTTTTCGTTGTTGGGGTGGAATCTTGCTCTGTTGCCCAGGCTGGAGTGCAATGGTGCCATCTCGGCTCACTGCAAACTCCACCTCCGGGTTAAAGTGATTCTCCTGCCTCAGCTTCCTGAGGAGCTGGGATTACAGGTGTCTGCCACCATGCCCGGCTAATTTTTGTATTTTTAGTAGAGACAGGTCACCATGCTGACCAGGCTGGTCTCGAACTCCTGACCCCAGGCAATCCACCTGCCATGGCCTCCCAAAGTGCCAGGATTACAGGCATGAGCCACCGCCCCCAGCCTACTTAAATTTTTCAAAGATGGTATGTATCTATCTTTCTGTGTTTGTGTATCATGTCTCTGTATATGTGTGCACACACATGAGTCACCAAGACATTGTTCACGGTACCAGAGTGGTATTATAAATGAGGCAGGGCAAATCATGTCAAGAAAAATACCATCTGACTGCCTTCTCAATATGTAAAATTTGGGAAAATGTTTATTTTTACATATAACACAAGTCAAAGTTTTAAATTATAGTAGTTAAAAATTAAGGAACTTGAATTTAAAAAGGCAAAAAAAGAGCAAATTAAATATGCTTGAAGGTAAATACAAACTTGGCCGCTTCCTAGGTGTGCACCTTCCAGCAAGATTACTGTCTGTATCCCAAGAAACGGAAATATTTGTCTCACATTGTTGTTTTAAAGAATGCATGAGCCGTTGCAGACAAAATGCTGCACATGGTCCTGGCGAACAGTAGACACCCCATGGAAAGAATTTGTTTTTATTATTGATTGTTGCCTCTACTCCCTCACAAATGCTCAGGATGTTTGCAATTGTAAATTACGTTGTTGGACAGCCAGTACTCTAACTCATCGGAATAAACCTTTAGCGGTATAATTTTAAATACTGTGGTAGGGAATTAAAGGGGATATATCGATATATGTGTCATATATTTTTTAAATGAATGAAATTCAGGGCGGCTGAAGTGGAAGGATGCGCAACTCTACCCTAGTGTGTGTATCATATACAATTCCCTATAAAGTACACTATACATGCACACTAATGTGAACATTTAGCAAACTGTCCACTTTTGCTCATCTTGACTCCTCAGCTACAGTATCTCCTGTAATGGATTATTCAATTACACACTTTCTTTATACTCTCTCCTTTACAACGCCCCCTTCTCTGATTCCTGTTACATGCAGAGAGCACCTCACACCTCTGGTCCTGTTTGCCTATTGTTTCATGTTTGTGTATACAGCTATCTCAATTATATTTCAAACTCCAAAAGGTCACCTTTATATTTGCTCACCCAAAACACAATCCTGGGCTGAAAATAGGTAATATTTTAAACTGTAATCCTATGGACAAAAGTCAGTGACTACAAACAAACACATAAGCGTTTCAAAAAAGTTCTTGGAACAGGGAAGCAAACTTCTGAAAATAAGATCGGTAATTCGGGGAGAATTTTGAAGCTAACATTCTTGGTTTCCTGGACAAATAAATGTTGCGATTTGTTTGCTTATCCACCATCTTCTTTCTGTGATACAACAAAGAAAAAGAAAAACTTTAAAGCAAATGTGAAAGACTAAAGCCACCAGCATCACAGTAGTGCACATTTTCACAGGGGAAAGTGCAGAGACATATTTTAGACTCAGACGAGACTTGGGGAACGTCTGTGAATAAGTGAATTAGGTTCTGGAGTAGAGGCTTGCCTACTAGGACCTCCAGGAACAGACTCAGAGCTCTTTAATAAATATTCCAGGGAGTCAGGCTTTCTTGGAAAAAACAAATTAGTGTGAGAAGCCAGTGCTGTGCAATTTCAGTTTTAAAAATAGCCAGTATTGTTAAGGCTGCTGTGTGCATGAGAGAAAAAGAAAGCCCTTATTAATTTTTGTGTCAGCTCCCACATTAAAACCAAGACACTCCACTGAGAGTCTTCCCTGGCAAATACTGCAAAGGTTATAAGGTTCGTATCACTAAGAATCACTTTTGGTCCTTCCAATGACCAACTTTTGGGAGGGAAGAGGTTATGTCCCCTTTTATCACATCGGTCTTTCAATAAAGGCAAGTGATGGTTCTGCCTCTTTCACTTAGGACTAGAGCTGTGTCTCTGTTCCAGCTTCTCATTTGCCTAATTGCCCTGGGAGGTTGGCAGGGACGTTCCCTGCTGCCGAGGCTCTGCTGACTGCAGAGACCCTACCTGGCACTCTAAGTTGGTGCGTCAGCATTTTAGGTTGAAATGAATGAAAAATCAATCAGGATGACTGCAGTGGTAGCGTACACAACTCTAACCTAGTTTGTTCATAATTTTCAACTATTCACCATAGACCCAAGCAGTATTTAAGATGGTAAGTGAATCTGTGACCAATGTGCTGCTTCTGCTTAATCGGGCACTTTTTTTTTTGTCCTCTTTTCTATTTGGAACAAGCAAGTCTAACCTGCTTAGGAAGCCACATGTAAATGTGACATGAATGATGATGTCAAGTTTCACGCAAATATTATTTGCCCTGGCTTTAGATTCAGTTTCTAATTAGACCAAGTGATAAGTTCTTATATAGAGCTATAACACATTGCTGTTTTATTAACGTATGCTGCAAATTCAGAGGCTTAAATTTTTTTAAGTCTGTGTATGTTTTTGTCACATCTCTTTGTTACTTGCTGTAATTCTCTATATCAAAACTACAGTGTTTTAAATGTCTAGATTTACAATTCTGCAAAGATAGAGTTAAACACTATTTGGACTCTGGCTACATGATGGTAGCTGGAATTGTTCAAAGCTGCCGTCTTCAGCTCTCAAAGACAGCCACAGTAACTTTCTGAACAGATTGGGTTAAATATTTTTACAGACCCATTCTATGATGATAAGGCGGTAATAAGTTGTGCAGTGCAACACTCCAAAGGGTTCCAAATCTCACAAGCCTCTTTGTATGTGATGCTCTCACAGTGAAGAAGATTCTTTGGGCTATAAAGATGAAGAGTCTACTTCTTCTGGTGCTGATTTCAATCTGCTGGGCTGATCATCAATCAGACAACTATACTCTGTATCATGACAGAGTTATTCACATCCAAGGTAAGGAAACACAGCTTCTCTTGTCAAAGTCTAATTAATTTCAAGTTACTTAGATTCGAGGTGCTGGGTTAGTGTTTCTTGATTTCAGTTCTGCTTCATTGCCTTTTTCTTTTCCTTTCTGCTAATTGGCGAAAGTGTTCCCTGGCTTTTGAATACTATTGCATTACAGTAGAGTTAAGAATTGGGGACAATTAAAGTTGAGTAGCTTAAGAATGTCCAGCTGCAGTGAATTGGTATACTCGTTCAAGGCTGTTAAGTGCAGTTGCTATCCTCAAGAAAAATGAAGGGCATAAAGTTCATTTAAATGCAAGTCAGAGGGAGGAAATAGAAAGCAAAACAGGATCCAAGGCTATTTTGTTAGAGTAAATTGTTTAATCATTAAGAGAAACAATATAAATAAAATGAAAATTAAACAAGCTATTGTCCAGGAGAAAGGAGCTTACACTATTACAATCTCCTTCAGTAAAGCCTTAGCTCCTGTAGACCAATACGTTGCCCCTGCACATTTCCGTTCAGCTCAGCTGAATGCTAAGCCTGAAAGCTGTAGCAAGGTTTGAGGCTGCAGTACAATGCAGCTCTTTCCTCAGTCCCAGCTTCAGATGAGGGACATCCTGCATTAAGAAAGCTGAGACTTATGCAATAAGAGGAACTGTTCTCTCCTTGTTCTTGGATGCTAAATAATTAAAACAGGAATATAGAACAGTTTAAACACATGATGATAATTTTAGATAAACTCAATTGTGGTACCAGAGGCACGATAAGTTTGCTAAGAGACATAAAACTCTAAGTTGTATCTTCAAGGTCAAAAGCATAGTCTCAGTAAACTGCATTCACAGTGAAAAGTATGACTTGTGAAGGTCAAATCATAGTGTAAATCTATCTAGAAGTATTTTCCTGTACATATTATGACTACCAAAATAGAATTCTGAATTTGTCTGCGTCTAGCTATTTTAGACACATCTCTTTTAGTTTTGTTTGCTTCCAACAGCTTTTTTCCTCTGTTGAACTGAGAAAAGAAATTGTATAATCATAAATTTTACTCTGCAAGCTGCTGACTCAGCTGTTTCCTTAATATGTAGTAGAATCAGACCTGTTTCTAATGACCATATGATATTTACACATAGAGATTTCCAATGAAGAATAATACCCTTTTACTTTCTAGTGACAGAATTTGATTCAGCCAAAAAAGTAATACCTAGTGATTATTAATGATGCCAGTTTTATATCCCAATGCAATATAAACTTAAGCTGTGGTTTCAAGTTATTAGATGACAGACACCAAAGTTGTAGTATAAACTGTGTACAAACCATTTAATCAAAATTGCACTGAGTATGAGAATAGTATTTTTTAAATGTACTAACATTTGAAAAATTATTCCTGTAAGCCAGACTTAAGTTAGCGGGAAAAACTTCTGTTACCTCAGCATTTCCATTCTCATCTCCTCTATTGAAACTTAGTGCAAAGGGATTTCTGACCAAGAGTATCAGAATTATCAGTGTATTTGCATACACTGTCCAAATTTTTAAAAAGGCTCGACAGTCCACTTCATTTTAATTGTAAATTCATATTCTTAGAAAGTGCAGGCTTGCCTCGAAGAGTTGCTAAAGAGCTTTCAAGTAATAGAGCTATATTTGGCTTGTGGAAATTTAATGCTGAAATGTGATTTGGGTCATGGGATTATGATGTTATGTCCATAAACCAAATACCTGTTCTCATTACTTTTTTCCCAATAATTTTTTTGGTGATAGCATTCAGATTGAATTTTCAAGTCCCATAGTCCTTCAGAGAAACTGCTTCCAAGTAATCTGCCATAATTCCAGTTGTCTTTTACAATGCGAAAATAAATCAGATAGCACAAGAATCAATTCCTTCTGGGCTATGTTTTTTGATTTATAAAACATAGCCCAGAAGGAATTTTAGGGAGCTGAAATCCTCACAGATTTTTTGGAACAATTTAGTCAGATGATTAAATTAGCTGTCTCAATCTAAAATTCTTGAATGGTACTGATAAGCAGTATGAGCTTCTGTTAGTGACAAAATAGTTGAAAATTCACGTTACTGTAAAAACATCTTTACTCTCTCCCATTTTTGATAAAATTTCTATTTTTGTACTCCAAGTTTCCAAGGTCTGAACGATATTGGGAAAATAGTGCAAATCATCCTCCAATTCTTCTTGGCTGCCTTGATACAGACGTTCAACATGTTAATGACACATTTTTGAGTTCCATGTTTATGAGTTAGCTAATTTTTTTTCTGAAGGCTTCCTCATAGTTTTGTTGTGCAAGATTTTATAAAGATATAGACACACACAAAAAAAGTTTAATCTGGATTAAAAAAAAAAAAAAAGGAAAAAAAGGCAGATGGCCAGGAAAGAAAATAGCAAGTGTGGACCCTATGCAAAGTGTTTGTAGTGAAAAACATTTCTCTGGTAATGGAAAATAAATCTCTTCCAGCTTCCCATGGAGAAAGACTTAGCTTTAGATACAAATTTCACATGTACTAATCTATTTCCTTTAATTTTTCATTGAAATAATTTGGTCATACAGGAAAGCAAACTTCATTTGTCCACAAAGTCTACTAAAAAGATGCAATCAAGATGTTAGTTTGTATATAATACACTATCCTGAATGTAGGCAATTGTTATTTTATCAAATATTTCTACATGAAGAAGGTTCACTGTTAATATCCTCTCTATACTCTAAACTAATGGATTTTGTTCCTAATGTCACAATGTGGCTAGTTGACTTTTAAATCCTTTGAAACTTGAGACCATTAGGAAGAGTTTTATATGGAATACCATATCACACAGAAAGAATAATATTTATAATATTTGTATCAGGTCCAAAATCTTCTGTGTAGCCTTTCAACTATGAGCAGAATTTCAGAGATGATGAATGTATTTTTTCATTATTTATTTTTAATGGTATATTTGATATGTAATAAATACCTTGACATTATTGTACAATTAACATAACCATCCATATCCAGAATATTTTTGTTGTTGTTGTTGTTGTTGTTTTAGTTTTTTTAAATTGCCTTTTAGGTTTTGGGGTACATGTGAAGAACATGCAAGATTGTTGCATAAGTACACACATAGCAGTATGATTTGCTGCCTTCCTCCCCTTCACCAGAATGTATTTTTTTAAATACAACTTTTTAGAAGACATTTACAGATAGCAGAGACATTTTATGACCACTTGCCCATTAACCAATAGCTACTTGACCTTCTCAAGGTCAGAGTCAGTGCTTCCTGCCTCTGGTGTTCAAGCAGAGATCTTCTGATGACAAGTTTGAGTCTTTCCTGTAATGCCACTAACTAGCTTAGACCTTGGAAAACTAATGTCTCTAAATCCCAGTTACCTCATCTGTAAAACTGGGCTTATCTGCCTGCTTATTCCATAGAGCTCTGTGAGAATTAAATGAGGTAATAGTACAGTGCCTGGTTCCCAAGAGCCAATAAGCTATCCAGGTAGTTGTTATCATTACGTTTATTGCTTCCTCCCTGTTATGGAAAATTGATTTTTAAACAGAAAACAGACTCTAAATACTGGTCAAAAAAAAAAATCACACTTTTCAAAGTACATTTGTTAACAGAACCATGTCATCGCCTTAGTTCTAATGACGTAAACATTTTATAAGTTCTTTTCTTTGCCTTCTTTAATTTCACAATCTATAATTTCCCCATTCGTATTATTATTATTATTATTGAGATGGAGTCTCGCTCTGTCACCCAAGCTGGAGTGTAATGGCTCAATCTTGGCTCACTGCAACCTCCACCTCCCAAGTTCAAGTGATGCTCCTACCTCAGCCTCCCAAGTAGCTGGTATTACAGGTGCCTGCCACTATGCCCAGATAATTTCTGTGTTTTTAGTAGAAACAGGATTTTGCAATGTTGGCCAGGCTGGTCTCAACTCCTGACCTCAGGTGATCAGCCCACCTCAGCCTCCCGAAGTGCTAGCATTACAGGTGTGAGCCACCATGCCCAGCCTCCCCATTCATATTAAATATTATCTTATCATTTTTACTTTCCTGGTAGAAACTAAAGTTTTCCAAACATAAGTAATATTTTCCCTTAATATACTTACTATGTGAACACAGATCCACTACTTTACATTTTTGTAAAGAAGAACAAGAGGAAATCTCAAAAATGAAAATTGTGTCCTTCTACTTAATAAGTAAAAGTAATTGCACTTTTGTCAACAAATAAAACAGGTAGATTTGCTTAAAGAAGAAATTGCCAGAAGTTTACATCTGTAAGTAGAAAAAAATAATGTCCATCCAGAACTGCTGGCAGAAGTGCAAGTGCTCTCTCAGCTTCACTGTTCCCGTGCCTGCTGTGTGTCCTGAACCCACCTCCCGTTCTTCAAATCTAGCTCAGTCTTCACATGGGCTTCCTGCTAACATGCCTCCCTCCCTCATCAGATTGTTTCTCAGCTTTATAACTAACTCCAATTATATAGCAGTGGCAGACACATAGTAGGTGCTTGATATGTGTTTGTTGAATAAGTGAGTGAACAAATGAATGAAGGATGCAATGAGATATTTCCTTTTTTTTTTTTTTTTTTTTTTTTTTGAGGTGGAGTTTTGTTCTTGTTGCCCAGGCTGGAGTGCAATGGCACCATCTCGGCTCACCGCAACCTCTGCCTCCTGGGTTCAAGTGATTCTCCTGCCTCAGCCTCCTAATTAGCTGGGACTATGGGCATGCGCCACCACACCTGGCTAATTTCGTATATTTAGTAGAGATGGGATTTCTCCATGCTGATCAGGCTGGTCTCGGACTCCTGACCTCAGGTCATCCACCTGCCTCAGCCTTCCAAAGCACTAGGATTATAGGCATGAGCCACTGCACCCAGTCAAGATACTTCTAAATTGTCACTACCATAATGAGCATTTGTTAAATGCTGTGGTATCATTGCCATTTAGCAGCACATGACACATTGTATGCACTTAATGAACATTAGCTAGATGACTGCTTTCACTCCATAATGTTGGCATAAGC